GTACTCTAACTTGACAGGGTCTGTTAGCAGTTACGTCAGTTAGTCAGAATTTTGGCCACAGTTTGCTAGCTGAATCCGTTTATGTAAAGGCAATTATAACAATTAAGTGGCCAACAACAGTTCGCAAGCTGTTTTTGTTTTTGGTTGTGGCCAGAATCGCTGACCACCCACTCATATATTCAGTAAGCAAATAATAAGCAAACAAAAACAAACATCGGCACGTCGAGCGACGCACTTGAAGCCACATACAAATTGATTAATTAATACTAGTTTCGTTCTCTTCTCACGAAATATTTTGTTTTGTTTTTGCTTTTTTTTTAATGAGATTCGCGGCTACGATGAGACGACAAAAACTGTTCATTAGACCGAAATTTGCTCCACGCCTCGTCCTCCTCCTGTGATGGAAGCCTAACAGAACAACAAAAGTTTTTGAGCTACTTAAAATTAAAAAAACTAAATCAAAATATCACTGACAATGAATGCAATTGTCACATTCTGCGCGTTTGGGATTCCCAAAAGGTTTATGTACAGGTTTAGCATTAGAAGTTGGCTTAATGAGGTAATTCCGATTGTTGAGAGAATCACACTTTTCACATAAATATATATATATCCAGATGATCTTGATTTTAAATACTATTCCAAATGTAATACAAGTTGAATGTATTACACTAAGAGAATTTTCTAGAATTTGCTATTAAAATTTCATATTTATTTTAGTTTAATGATAGGAAAATGAGTTCATGTTAAAATTGTATGTAACATTAATATCTATCTTTAACTGTTAAATACCTTACCTCATAATTATTTTATATATGTCTAGAAGATTAACGTAACAATTGTTAGGGATATAATACGAATACATGGATGCCAAAGGCAATCTATGTGACGATCGATAGTGTCATGTCAGTGAACTCATTGCCAGCAAAACACACTTCCGACTAAGTTAAAAACGACCCTCTCGCATGTCATACAGATACACACACACATATACCCCTCCATTACCCCTCTGCTTATGCAGCTGTCCAAAATGGCCGTCTACTCCACAGGAACTAACGGAAATTGTATGCCACAGTAAATGTGAAAATGGTCGCATCTATTTGCTTGTTGTTGTGTATGTGTGTGTGTGTGTGTGTGTGTGTGTGTGTTTGTGTACGTCTGTATGCAGTTGTGTGTCTAAAATAATAACACTGCAGTGCCATGACGCCAAATGACCGTCCCTGAGGAAGGAGATATAGACATGCATAAAGCACTTGCCCTAAGAGTCCGGGATACACTGGCAAAACAACAACAAAATCCTTGCAATAGCGCATTCAAAGTTATTTCCGGTAGTACAGCTCTACAGGCCGCTTATCGGTTTATAATGTACCCAATGAGTAGCTTTCCACCTAATCATCATAATGCGTGCTTAATTTATGAACGTAAATTTATTTATCATTACCTCTCATTTCTATTGTGGTTGTGCTTGTGCCGATGGCAATAAAAAAATAACATTATTTATTTACTTTCTTGATTGCCAATTAAAAAAAAAAGTAAACATTTCTCTGATTTTTTAACATTAAAACAATAAAAATATAACATTTGTTCAGCGTCGATTGACAACATCAAATCCAGATTTGCATATTTTGGCTTACATCATTTCAAGCAATATAAAACGGAACTTTATTTACTTTCTTGATTAAGAAATTTAAGAAAAAAGTATTTTTCCTGATGGAGTTATTCCATAGGAACACTGCCATATAGTGCACTGTGCACTATAAGTTCTGAGAGTAATCAAATTTATTTAGTTCACGTTTCGCATGCTGAATAAAAAAATACCTATAGCAATACAATCAGCAAATTGGTCATAATTAATATTTTATGATTATTATTATCATCCAATTATCGGTGGTATAAGCGTAAGCACATATGCAGAGAGAAATAAACTACAATAAATTTGACGTATACGTAATAAAAATCAGCGGCATTTATGGGATTGCGGATGGTGAGAACCTGGCCGGCTGCAGAATGGTGGGTGGAGGATTGTAATCAGGTCTCAAGTGGTGCTAATATGCTGATATAATATAGATATATGTATGTATTTATGCATATACCCAACAAGCACTGTTTCTCATTATGCAGCTTGGCAGCAAACATTTGCCAAACTCTTTGCCAAACTACTGCCATTTATTCGCTTACCCTTCCACCCAAAATGGATAGCCTTTTATCGATTCATTCATCCTGACATCATTGGCAAAATATATGCATATAAGTGTGTTTATGGAACGATAAATATCTTGAGATTGATTACGGGGGCGCGGCAGAAACCCGACCGATGAAGTGTCGAAGGCCATGTGAAGGTCAAGTTCGTGGCTCGAAGGCAGAACGGCGTCTTAATTAATGAGCCTGATGAGTTGATTATGTGATTTGCTTGCAAACAACCCTTACACTTGAAATGAGATGGATAATCTTGAAGGGACATTTAGGACCCCATAAAGTATATACAGATGCTAGCCATCATTCGAGTAAATATATCCATGTGCTTCTTTTGCAAACTAGTCTCTCAGTTTTCAATATCCTCATTTCATGCTTTTGTTAACTGTGTACTATAATATATAGGATATAAAGGATATCCGTATATTATTTTGAAAAACTCCATTTAATCTTACTAGCAACGATTATTATTTGATATCATGATTTGAGTTTGGCAAGTATAACAAATAAATCTGAGAGTCAACTATATTCATGTAAACTATTTTTGCTCCTGTTATTGTGCATCCCAATCGCTGACACTATCTCAATTGCGCGGTTTATTGTTGGCCAGTCAGAAACGCATCTGGCACTCAGTTGATGTATGTTTGCAGGTACCTGGGGTACCATCTGGGTATCTCCCTTAGTGTTCCACAAGAAACGCGGTCACTTTGCTGGCCCTAGTTGCAGACGCTTCGTGTGCGTGGGTCGCTGCACCCTGGATGTCGAAGTGAATGCAATTCATTTGGTGAATGCGTATTTGGTTCAACAACCCGTTGCAAAGTTGTGGCTTTTTGTCGATATTTGTGGCACTTTTGGTCACCGGAAGTCGCACTGCGGACGACAGTTGTCGACCGCTTTGGTCAGCCTTGTTGTCTGCTGTGTGCTGTGTGCTGCAGCTGAACATGTGTATATGTATATGTTTAAGTAAATATATGCTTAAAAAATTGTTGTACATAGGACATATTTGAATTCGAGTCATTCTATTTGCTTGGCGCTGTCAAGTTCAAGGACCAGACTTGGAGTAATGTAAAGCAAAGCCATCAACTGCAAATCCTTTTCTTTTGTCCCCACGATGTCCACATTGGTGAGTGTGTCCTTGCACAGCTCTAAACATTTTTGTCCCCCATCCACCCCCATCCGGTTAACCACTGGAGAGCGCTTGTGGCATTCGAATTTTCATTTGAAATTTTTTGTCGTTTGTTTTTTATGCGAACAGAAGCAGAAATTTCTAAGAACAGAGTCAATGACAATGTGCATTTCGTGTGGCTCTTGAAAAATGATTTCGATTTTTTTTGTTTTTTTGGATTTGTTATTTTTCTGCCCATATAGAATTCGATACTTGAAACGCTGCGCAAATTTTATATTGAAGAGCATGGGAACAATTAGAGAAAAATGATGTGTTGGGCCATTGAAGGACTTTCAAATCCAAATTTCATGCAGGAGAAAAGCTTTTATAATTAATTGATAATTTGACATTTTTTCTACCTATTTTTGAGTAAACGATGGTGTAGCAAAATCAGCAGTCGTAGGTACTATTGATGGCTTAAATACTTATAATAATATATTCTACCTACATATAAATATATTTTTTGCTAATATTTATCAAACCTGCCAACTTATTTATAAATTCTCTTAGACTATTAAAGTGCAAGTAAATTTATATATTTTATGGTAATAACATTTAATAATTAAGAGACTCCATACATAAATATATATAGAACAACATATATAACATATCCCACTGTGCGGCGACAGTGTGTACAGAGTGCTGTGCTCTTTGCCATTGCCTGCTGGGCAATTTTTCGCGGTCGCTTTGATGACATGCGTACATACACACAAACACAGGCTTGGGCACTCACACACTGCTATTAACATGGTTAAATTTTGTTGTAGTCATTTTTGTGTTTGTTGAATTTTTTTGTTGGGCGTTTTGGGCCGTCTCGTGACTTTAATGCCGTTTATCGCTTGTCACTTGTCAGCCGTCGAGTCGCTTTTGGGTCTTTTGGCCTGTTTGCCACTTGTTACGCGCTTTTTCGCTCGGAACATCCAAATATTTGACATTCATAATGGTTAGCCATTGGCCAAGCCAGCCGATTCAACATCACCATCCAGTAATTGCTCTTTGCTCGCTTCGTGCCCTGCATGACACATTAGACAATCGAGGACAGTTGACAACCAAGTACCAGTACCAAGTTCCAACCGCAGTCGCAGTTCCAAATCCAGCCAAATCCAGCGACGAGTGCAACTGCCAAGGTTGTGGTCAACTCAATGATGTAATCATTTGGACTGCAGCTAATCGTAAATACTATATGGACTGCCGATAATCACCATGCCCGCTAAGTGATGCCATTTTACTCGTCTCATTTCGTTACGATATCATCGAGCAGAGTCAACAATGCGAACAAGTGACGAGCCAGCTACTCGTATTCGTCTCGTAATCGACACCGTCCACTCATTGAGGGCAGTTCAAGTGATGTTTAGCACAAGTAGCCCAAGTAGTACATACACATTTCGCATTGTCATGTGAGGCAGCCTCTTACTCAATCGTTAAGTTCGCCCCTTGCACTCCTTTATACAAATTGCGAATTGCCACAAAATTATAGACATTTGTCGTTGAGTACACTCGGAAATCGCCCTGAAACTTGGAAAAATGTTTCTTGTTTTGGGAAATAATTTATTAATATAAGAACAAAATTTAATATTTTTCTATTTCTATTACTTCTAAAAATTGGAATATATTTATTATAAATTTTATTTCTTCTACATTTTAGAATCTACCTTGGAACTGTTAAACGAAAAAACGATGGTTTTTGGAAAGACTTAACTTACCATTTTAGAAACATACTTTCTGAATAATAAGGTGAGTTTCCCCTGGCGGGTGATTTTTTTTTTTTAGTGTAATTGGAGTCGCTAAGTGCATCGAAAATCGCATGCCAGCTAAGCCAGCTAATTTCTTAGTAGTGAAGTTATCAAGTTGTTGCTATGTTTTTAGTACTTGTTGTGCACAACACACACACACAGACACGCCCCCTAAGATAAATCGCTTGACATTGAAGCATCGTCAACTGCAGTTGATCAGCATAAATAGCTATGAAGCTAAATGTGTATTCACTGAACCTCAATTGATCCATACTTGAGCCAGTCTGAATTCAGTTGCTACGCTTGTATAATAATTATACACAAATATATCGATTAAAAATCGTATGCTTAATATTAATACACTTTTGATCCCTTTAATACCAATTGCCGTTTCCAGCTGTACAAAGATATCGATATATTTAATATAAAATTGATTGCAATGTAATCTTTAGTTTTAAATAGATTAAAGATGGAATAACAATATTTGTTTTTAAATCATCATAAATTGTTATTTATTTAATATTCAATTCATTATAAGCATTTTTGAGATTGCAAAAAATTAGAAATTCGTCGATCAACAGTTAAGGAATAAGCAAATTTGGATCTGGAAAAGAACAAAGTTGATTCATATTCATTTGAAATCAGTTTAAAAATTGTTGCAGTGGTCTTTGTCAGATCATTCTGCAGCTTTGACGCTTTCACTTTTAGACGAGCAGAGTGAGAAGGTGGGCTGCACCTCAACGTTGACTCGACAGTTGACATGGTCAGATCAGTCTCTCTGATAGTCAACCATTGAGCAATTTACCAACTCATCTCGCATCAAGCACTTTATACTCTCCATTCCCCTCCTCCGCCTCTGCCTCCGCCTCATCATCTGGCTCTGTTCCTGCCACTATATACTGCTTGAGTCCGTCGGGTCGTCATTCTGAATGTTGGCTGTCAATCTCTTGTCTAATTAGAAACATTTCAGCAGTGAGGCAGAATCGTGTGCTTCTGCAGTCCATTCGCTTGTAGTCTTGCCAAAAAGTAAAAAAAAGAAATCAAGAAAGAAAAAAAATGAAAATGAAAATGGAAAAACTAGCCAAGAATGAAACAGAATTGCAAAATTCAAAATCATTTTGTCATTTTGTAATACATTTCGTCATTTGTGTGAAGCCCTTGAAAATTGCCTAACACATATTCATAAAATTTTATTTTGCCACACAAGTAAATCGAGGGTAACGAATGTTACGCTTCAGTTATGCATTTTGTAATACTATTTTTATTTATATATAATATGTGCATATGCATATATATTTTGTTTCGATTTGCGTCATGCGATTGAAAATCGATTTGACGGCAACATCATGCCTATAAATTCTTGAACGAGATAACTGTTCGAAGCGAAGCTCTGAGATGCAGCACAGACCCACCCAACCCACACCGACACAGATACCCATCTAATGTTTGTATATATGTATTGTGCAGCTGGGCAATTCACGTTATTTAACTATTCATAAATTTTATTTTTACACGCCTCGCCTGCCCAACAACAATCGCAAGCGGTCCATTTTGGGAATGGGTTGGTGGGAGGGGAGGGGAGGGATGGGAGTTTTGTGAAAAGCGAAAGAGATGCATTCACACGTGATTAACGCCAAATGTATCCAGCTATTATATCCATTTCACGTCCAGCAACTCGTAGCTATCCCAACATAATTTTCAAACGAAAAATGTGTTAAAAATAAACTTTTATTGATTCGTGTAGCGCTGCGATGCGGCCTTTTGAGGTATTTTGCATGCCCTTGTAAATGCCAATCGGTTGCCCCTCCCTCGCCACGTCTCCTTGGCAAAAGCCACGTACCGCATCGTGAGCACCGTTCGCCCAACCCGCCCCCTCCCCCCTCCCCAATCCCCCTTCACTTACACGCGTCTTCCATCGCCAGACAGCTTTACATATGCTGACTGCGTTGCGTTTGCATTTTATGTGTGCGTTTAATTAGGCGCAAAAAATGCCATAAGCAACCAAATGGCACTCAACTATAGCGTTATCAATTCCAATTCCAATTCCACATCCACAATATGTGTATGTTTTGTAAATATATCTATGTATCCATCCACTACTCGTATCCAAATGCATAATTCGCATTTGCTTATCGTTGCTACTGCCAATTGACTTTGGCTTTGGTTGCGCTTAAGCGCTGCGTAACTGAAGATGGAACAGCTCCGCCTTATCGGCCAGCAGCTATGCAGTTAATTATATGTATATGCACATATATATATATTTATATATATCAGGCCTTGTGTGCTGATGGGGGCGGTATTTGAATGCAAGGTGCTGTCCATTCTCTTTTATCTGCAGTCCGCTTGCGGCTGTATCAGTTGGCGGTGCATTGCACTGCATTGTCAGCCAAGAGGCCGTGCAAATAAAGGAGCAGATCCATCGGTAAATATGCAGCGCTGATTCAGATACGGCGTCCCTCAACCCCACACTGAACTTCTACAAAGCAAACGTTGACAAGTCTTCACTGATAAGCGCACCATTCAAAAAAATAGACATTTACTTAATATACTCCACACTCTCTACAAGTTATTTATTTAGTATATTGCACTATTGCTGAAATAAAAATCACTGACTGTTATTTTGTACCCTGTAACCCAGTACCAATTATCAATTATAAAAATAGCACAGCAAAAATAGGCAAAGAAAGTAAAAAAAAAAGTATAAAATAAGTATAGAAAACATGTTAAGTCTTCAGATAAAGTTCTTTTTAATTGCGTTGGCATTGAAATAATTTATAGATTTTATTTTTAATATACAGTTCGTCATCCTCATAAATAATTTTCGGGCAACAATTGACATATTTAACCATCGCGAACGACAGGTGCAGATCTTCGATAAAATATACTGCTTAAAAGATTTTTAATATTATTTAAGCACTTTGTAATTTAATTTTATTATCGACCAATTTTGTGTTACACAACACGTTTAAGTTGCCAATAAGAAGAATCCTGGCAACATTTCACCGCTGCTTCCTCATCAGTTGGTAACGGCTGGATCGTAATCCTATTTTTATACTCTGATACCGAAGGCATCATGGTATATTGGTTTTGTGCAATTTTCGTCATGCTGTCTGGTCAGCTGGAACATATTCTATTCTGTGCCAATGCCACACAAAGTGTTAAAATTTGAGTGCTGCGCCTACTAGGAGGCTGGGAAATCGATAACCGCATATCGATAAAGCCACATAACTCCCACAACTTTAAGGTTGTAGCCTTCGCTAAATTTGAATGGTAGGTTGCTGGCGATATCCTTCAAAGATCAATATGGGCCCACCTACGCCGCCCGCAGGACCACCGCCCATTAAATGCTCCGCAATTTTATGATCACGCCCACACCTGAGCCAATAATCGCCAAAGCTGATATTTCGGAGAGTGTAAATCGATAAAACCGCATATCTCCCACAATTTTAAAGATACGAGTTACCAAACTTGGAAGGCAAATTGCTGGTAACCTCCTTCAAATATCGGCTTATACATTTACAGCTTATATGTCCCGCCATATAAGAGCTATAGTTAACAAACTTGGAAGGGAGATTACTACTACACCCACCCTGTTCTGTATTACTTGTGGTATCAGAGTATTTCCCAGTCGGTTACACTCGACTGCAACGTTCTCACTTTTTTTTTTTTTTTTTTTTTTTTGGATGCGATAAGAAAACGAATCTGGCCTATTTATTCTGCTTTTGCAATATTTGCAGAAAGCCTAATCGGGATCACTGAAATTGTTGAAATAAGAAAAGATTTCCGGACTGGGACTGTTTGCTTACTTTTCCGGCTAACTGACACATTAAAAAAGAACCGATCTGTCTAATTAAAGGCCAAAATGGCAACACCTGACACTCCTGACACTATTGGTACCAAATTTGTTTTGTGAAATTCTGTAGTAAATAGTCTAACAAACATTAAAAGCAAAAAACTTTTGCAATACTGGTGTTGTTAATTAATGCTTAGGAAGGGTTCTTTAATTAAGGAAAATTGTTGAAATGAATTCGTTCGCAAATCTCTAGAAACCAACGCAAATCAACTAAAATCTTGGCATAAGCCCACATAATGCTCTCGAATATGTTTGTTTTGGACAATGACTCACTGACAATTAGGACGCTCAACTAAATATCTTGTGTAGCAAAGCAATGGTACGGGCCATACACTCACAGTGCGGCCATAAATAACCCTAGCCAAGCAGATGCTGACATCACGAAAAGAACAAGAACAAGAACAAGCACAAGAACCAGCACCAGCACCAGATAAAGACAACAACACCGGTAACAGCAACAGCAGCTGAAGAAACCAATCGAGCGACAAACGCACACAAATATTAATACATAAAAAAATAATATAAATGTGTACACAGATACACAGATACATGCATATATGCAGATCTGAATTTTATTCTGTTTGCAATGAAACTGAAATTCAACACATGCTAATAAAAATGCCCATGAGACAAACATCTGGACAATCCATGTCTAGCTTCAGTTCCTATTGGATCTGGGTTGCCTTTGTTCGACGCGCTGCACATATAAGAGTTCCATGCGACATTAAATTGGCAAGTGGATTGGAATATATTTTGGGCAAGGGCAAGGCCTAAAGTGACGGGACCTAGCAGAGACCCCAAATAAAAGCCATACAAAATTGGCCAATAATTTAATTATTTTGCGCTGCCTTCGAGCCTGGCCTGCATCATATTGGTCCGCTAATTGATTTGGCTTTGTCACAAAAAAAGCCACCCCCAAAAAAAAAAAATGTCAAAAGCGAGCCGCGAGCTTTGCTCGTGTGTTATTTAATTCACTTAGATCTTAAAATGTATGTGTAATTAATTAGTTTTGTTGCAGCCGGGCAGTGGGTGTGTGCCAGCGTATGATTGTGCGTCTGTGTGTGGGCGACTGTGGGCGTTTGTCTCGTATGTTATCCATCAGTAAATTGCAATCGGAAACTTTTGTCAGAGTCAATTTTGTTTGGCAG